ACAATATAATAAACAAATGTCGCACGCTACCTTGTAATTGTTTAGATTAATCTGCCTTACCTCTTGGCTACATTTCAAGAGATCTCCTTATTGGATTGAAAACTGCTTCATCTCTTCTGATGTCAAGCTGCATTTGGTTGATAATGTATTAATTAATGGGCGATAAGAATTGATCAACTACAGCGCACGCCAAACACGCAGATTTCATGTAGAAACGTGTTTGTTTCGCGTGAATGTTTCTACTATTTAGTTAGTGCAATTGTACAGCGGAGTTTAATTTTCCTATAGGGAAAACTACTCGTGGGCCGCTCCTCTGACTCGCTGAAATAACGCGAAAAGGCACCAATTCGTCGTCACTGCGAAAAATTAACACTGCTGCTAAGTTTCCTTTTTGAAACGCCCTGCGTTGTCCCTTCCAAACACCACAAAGTTTATACGGGTAATACGGTATAAAAATTTTTATTAAATTTGACATTTTTTATTGAAGTAACAAATACACTTTACTCGTTTTACCACTATCGCTTAACACGCATTGTATTTGCCATTAAATCTACTTTTCGTATGATGAGTTAGAATATGAAATTTTACCCATACTTATATAAAATTCAAAAAATTTAAACGACAAAGCGGGCTCCCGTTACAGTACCTAATGCATTAAACCAAGGCGTTATATTATCAATGAAGGATCTCTCAAATATGGCCTTTGTATGAATAGGAGGTTCATATTATGGTGTAAACTTCAGTTCTGAATTGCAATTTCTTATAGACAGTTTAACTCAAACGATTTATGGCGTACATGCCCATATTTTTGAATACCAAGTATCATCCTTATACAACTATTCTGCAGTTTTTGGATTCTATTCTGATCTGAGCGTGTTATACAATATACATGTATTATACACCACATCCACATGGTCTAACAATGAAAGTATCAAGGTGGAACGAAGCACCGCTTTAATGGGTACCTCAAAGCTATGCAAATGTCTCTGACCACACTGCAAGCTTTTTGCAATCTAATCGGAGTGTTCCGCAAACCTCAAATTGGTATCCATATTCAACCCTAGATTTTTGACGGATAGGGGAATAGCGGCTGAGATGCCGTACACGATCGTTTTCCTCCCTTTAGAAAATTCAACTAGGTTTGCTAGATGAAATGTGAGCGTTTTGTTTGGATTCGGCAAGTAACGATGGGTCACCTTGTATTTCCCTACTCAGCGTAAGCTAATTAGTTTCAAGATAAGCACGTCCTATCGCCGAAGTAAACAGATGTTAGTTCTTTCGAAGACGCAGTTTTTTGTTGAGGAAGGAGGAACGGAAGTGAGAAAGGTTTTAAATCGAAGAGGCGAAGTGGTCTTTCGGTCAAGATTTCTGCTTAATAGGCGTTATTTGTTTTCCCAACACGACAGTCAGTTCGGTGAGTTATACAGTTTTGTAGAAGACAGTCCAGGCGAGTTAAGCTCAAGTGTGTGTGTCGCTTCACGGAAAAGTTTGCCAATGCCTGTCCACCATCAAAGGGCCAATACAGGTATTTAAGTTTAATTTGTTTAATCGATCGCTTGCTGCGTGGTGTGTTTTAGCGCTGGTGCCTATATTTCTTTCAGCGTATTTGATTGATTGATTTTGCCTACATTTTGTTTCATTTGTAAATGGTTAGTTTTATGTTTCATCGTGCCCAAATTACGACCCAGGACAGGATATAAGAGAGAAAATTTGTTTTTAGAATGTTGGAGGCGGTTAAGGCTGCAGAATTTCTCAAATTAATAAAGCTTGCGTCAATATCAAAATTTTCGTTGTCGGGGGGGCTAGACGTGGCTTAGAACAGTTATAATCATTTCTTTTCAAGGTGCTGTTAGTATTTGTACTTCATAAGCTAGCTGGACAGGTGCTTGTGGGTGGTTTTTGTGATTTTTACTTGGCGCCCAACGTGGGGCAGCTTGTTTTCGATCTGATAGGTATGAAGAAAACGTATGTTCGTTGAGCGGTCGGATAAACCTATGTAATGTTAGATTGTTAGCATTAACCTATAGTTGATGGTGTCCAAATATTTCATCTAATGTGTAATCTTTAATAAAGCCCATGACTATGACGGAAAACGTTTAACTCCCAGATTTACTCCGGTATTTGTATAATTTATCGGAGCTAATTCCAGTTGGTTGCTCAAAATTATCGTCCCATGTACGTACAGTGGTTGTTGGTGTTAGAAGATTTCTACCATTATGTCATTTTCCAAACGAAATATTCTATAGTCGAAAAGCGGAACGTATAAGATGCTTGCTTGCAAACGTTCTGGAGCAGTTTGTATTCGAAGTTCTACTAAAGTTTGTGTTAATGTCGACAATTTGAGTTTCAAGTCCTAAATGAATCATGTGCACATTGCACGAGTTATAGTCACAGGCACCTTATTACAACCCCAAAGGTCACTGGTTGGAAAAATACTGCTACAATGGCCAAACCTAAATTGTCTACAAGCGACATTCGAAATTCATAGAAAAAACCGGAATACTTGGGGACACATCTCACAAGTACGAAAAACCTTTTCACTAATTACTGTAGTATGTAACTTCAAAAAATGCAAAAAAGGCTTAGGTAAGAAGGGAATTGTTTCTACTTACATCTCACGTCAATCTATTTGAACTTAAAAAAACTAATTGTTTTGGAATGTGCGTAGTATTCAAAAAAAAATTTTACAAACAGTTACACGCCGTTTGATTTCTAGATATAACTTTTAATGATAATTCTATCATAAGCTGTTTTCGTCTTGTTTCCAAGGTTAAAAAAAGACAGTGTTTAAATAATTCTCATTAACTGTTGGTCCTACTCTCAAAGTGACAATGTAACTTTCTCCTCAAGCTCAAAATACGGGCATCTTTGAAGACATTGGTGACAAATCGCACAGACTTGTCATATGTACGTATTATGGATATTTCTAGACGCCAGTTATACGATAACCCACTACCTACTGTTGCTAGTTTAATATATTGTATATAGCCCACACACGGAACATGTACCTATTGTAACTTCACGTATCGTTGGAGCAGCTACAAGTGCGTATCCGACGAAGACGTAACCATTTTTAGCACTTAAGTTAAGTAGGTACTTAAGTAGCCCATTCTTTTGAAAACCAAGTTACGTTTTACTATGGGATGGTTTTAATCGGCTTGCGTTATTACGAGACGCATATTAAAGTTCGTTAACTTAATTGATAAGTTCCTCTTATGCCATCAAGGGAGTTGATAAGGTTTTCTATGGGACGTGATTGTAAGCACACACGCAATCGATAGGTTTTTGACGTATGGCAATGATTAAAACAGCTAAAACAAATAAAATACCGAATTGATAACCGGTACGAAGTGGGAATGCTGAGTGCCTGTTCAATGAAAAACCTTAACATCCATTCTATGAAAGATGAATTGCCACGATCTAATTTCTCTACTTTGCCTTTTGGAGTTATTTTGCCAAGCTACTCTGGGATTCAATATATACGACGATCTGCACCTTTAATTTGGTTTCCACACAGGGTTAGTCCAAAAATGGATTTGGATATCTGGAGTGTGTGTGAGCAGAACTGGTTGCAGGGCAATGATTCGGTTAATGGAGAGCCAGTTGGCCAAGGGGTCACTTTGGAAAAGCCACCTCATGATTCTTGCAAAAGCTGTGGTTGTGATTCACCGTCCTTAGCGATGCAATCAGTTCCAAGTAGGTAATGACGCGCTCTGACATTCCGTTAAAAACCTTTCGTAAGATTTGTATGTCAATAGCCTCGTTTTCGCCACAATAATAATATAGTAAGGGTATTTTTCATCTACATCGACGCAATTACTTGATAAGTACAAAACGAAGATAAGGTTACAGCTTTTGCAAGAATCATGAGGTGGTTTTTCCAAAGTGACCCCTTGGCCAACTGGCTTTCCATTAACTGAATCATTGCCCTGCAACCAGTTCTGGTCACACACTCCAGATATCTAAATCCATTTACAAAAATGATTTTTGAACTAACCCTGTATGGAGGAAACCAAATAAAAGGTGCAGGTGGTCGCATATATTGAATCTCAGACTAGCTTGACAAAGTAACTCCACCGAGGAAAATTTCACGGCGCACACTTCAGTTTTGCAATCCAGCGATGGTTTTGGGATGGAAGGTAATCTTTGATGATTGATCTATCACATACAAGGTGATGCCATAGTGGGACCTCAACCTAATAAATTCGATTGGATTGTTAGTGATAGTTTTCTGTGACGTAGAGCACCTAGCTTTTACAAATAAGAGCTTATCAACGAGCTATTACTTGAAATTTGACTCACCTTGACTATGCGACGCCTAAACAGTATCAATTATAAGTACCTACTTGAACCACAAATAAAAGGAAGAATACAATCGCTTGCGTAACGATGGCGCCATTGCATTGCCTTTTAGGAATTCAGACTGGGATGTATTTATCCCAAAACTTATCGGTTATGAATAAAGAAAATAAACCGAGAAGATAAACGTATACTAAGAACCTTCTGAGTATATTCGCCCTTAGTAGAGTTAGCCAAAATAACGCCTCCGCAAGTTCAAAATAAAATCTCTGCACTATCATCGTTACTCTACTGCTGAGTGTCAATTTCGTGTCATGGTATTTCTGATGAATTACAAAGTCAAATATTAATTTTCCCGTTGTACCTTTTCGAGTTCCTGCAACCTGTAATAAATTAGTGATAGATGACGCAGGTCTAACATATAGGACAGTGGAGTACTAGCAAGCGAATGTGGTAATAATTATTGATTGTAGATAACCGTATTAAACACATGCGATTTTTGAATGATAAATTCACCTTAATTGTAGGTTGCTAATCTGCCATATTTAGCCAAATCAAGATCATATACCTATGGAAATATTTGCCATAAATCTCTCTGAACAGGTATAAATAAGATATCATCGCATTGGGTTTCGTCTTCATCCAAAATTGCTTTATTTTTGAATAGACTATAAATGTAAAAGACGCAATACGTAATATTCCCATCAAGATGCAAAGTTGTCTAGAACGCTCTTATGTATTATGCATATAATCTACCATAATAAAATTCCTTGAAATCTTCCATATTGAAAGTCTTTGGAAATTACGAGACAAACGCAAGTGTGGGTTAATCGGATGAAATTTACACCAAAGTTAATTTCCCAAACATTGACTCGCTGGAAAAGGACTAATTTACAATTTACACGTGACAATATGCATACTTACCACATGCTTCCAATAAGTTGGTACGAAATGCTTTTAAAGTAACGTCTTATATTCCGACGAATTTATGAAAATCCCAGAATCGTAATTGTTTTCTACCATCCACGAAATTTTCCCATATTTATGAAGGTGAGGTATACTGAAAACCAAACTTTATTAAGCGGTGTGCATATTCCAAAAAATCTAAGTTGAACGTTAATACATTTAGAAGATTGTGTGCCTTACGTCGACAACAAAATCAAGTATTAATATTACAAGCATCTTTGTCTCTCGTAAATTCTTGCAGAAAAGAAATTATTGCAGCTATGACAGTACCGAGCCCTTTCTTCACTTATTTCGCTTAGCTCTCAGCATTTTTGGAATCAAACTACAAAGTAGAATAGAGAACCACCCTATCCAATCACATTCTAACAGGTTACTATAAATATATTATTGAAACTACGTTCGCATCACACTAAAACTAATGTGATTATGAGAGAACCGTCCTTCTAGAACTGAAGAACGGAAGAAATTTTGAAACAAATACAGCAAACGAGCTCCTAGGTATGGAATTGCGTATTATATGACTAAAGCTATGCTCATTTCATAACTAACGGAGATGTCAAAAGGGCCTTCCTTATTTTTTGGCTTACATTGCCAATTTTCGAACTCCAATCTAAAAGTTTGATAAAGAATTTCTTCGTAATCGATCCGCCCGTTTTGGAGATATCGTGCGAACGGACAGTCAGACAAAATTATGAACTAGCTAGCAGCTCGTTAATTTAATAACTTGTATGAAGATATTAATTAATAATAAAATGTTAAACTCGCACTTCCCATCCATAATCTACGTAAATTAGTAGTGCGAAGATACGAAGATCATGGAGGACCTTCTGTCTGTGGTAACATGGAAGCTCTTCCTGAAGTTCAAAAACCTCGTAAGACCTAGGCCAAAAAGTAGGGACACTGAGACTTCCATGCGGCAGAAATATGTCTACCGCGGATGAGGCTCTCACATGTCTCCTGGAAACACACTTTCCAGGTTCTGAGGACTACGTAACGTCAGACCCACCAAAACAGTCGGTGTAAGGCCGATCGACTGGAAAGTAGAAACTGGTACTGGACGGGCTCCTCCGCACTCTGAACGAGAAGGGAACGTATACACCGAGATACGCGGATGATTTCTCGATCGTCATAATTGGGAAGTTTACAAACATCGTGATAGAGCTCATTCAGGGGGCTCTTGAAAAGGTGGATAGGTAGTGCAGTAGCCATAGTCTTTCCTTTAGCCGGGAAAATACCGAGGGTGTTCCATTTACGAATAGAAGGAGAGCGGGCCTTGAAGACATCAACTGGGTCTGACCGGGCCAAAGAAATATTTGGGAACAATCCATCAAGAGAACTCTCCAAGATCTTGTAAGAACAAATGATTTGTACAATCTGGTTCAATATACGGATACGGATCAAAAGAAAGTGAGCAATAAAGGTTCCGTGCATAATTTGCGACGCATGCATCTCTCACTTACGAAAGTGTGAGGTTAAAGGTCTTTTGTACGTTCATTCACTGGGTTTAAGTCGGTCACGTGACATAATGAACGCTCCAAAAGAGAACAGCGTCATGTGGTCAGCCACTGTGAAGCGTTGGTGAAAACGGTTCAGAGAAAGACGTGAAGCTGCAAAATCGATTCAAGACCGGGTCAAATCTATCACATAACCACTCCCAACACCATTGCACAGGTTGATGCGCATGTGCGAATCTCTCGAGAACGGAATGTCGGAAATGGGTACTTACAAAGGGAAAGTAATACATCTTCTTAAAGAGCTCGTAATTTCTCGTCGCTTGACAGTTTGCTTATAACCCGGAGCAGAACGGTATGACAGGAAGAAGAAATCGAACTTTGTTGGACCTGGCGAGGTGTTTACTAGTTCAAGCGGGCTAATGTCAGGTCTGTATTTGCAAAGAATGTTGATTTTAATTGAAAAATTTCAGTCGTCACGCTACAATTGTTTAACTAATTATCTAAGCGTCTTTACGCGAATGGGATGGGCTGTATTCCTCTTAGGGTAAAGTTAATTTTTTGAGTCAAACGGGATATACATAATTGAACTTTTGAACCAAACCTCAAAACTGAAGAATGGATTGCCGCCGCCAAACGTGTTGTTAGAACTAGGACCTGCATTTAAGAAGAACTCAAAACCTTTGAGCATGTGCCTCTGACGGAAGGTATAAAGAAGCCATCTACTTAAAATCATTTCTTATGGAATTAGTAATAATAGTTTGCTGCAGTAATGTGTACTTAATAAATATCACTACTTGCAAACCACAGCGTTAGCTTTGCCATTTTCCTTAATACAATCTACAGGATGTTGTTTTTTTCTGTTTTCTACCCCTGAACTTTTTCGGTGCGCAACTGGTATTGCAAAATAAATGACTTTCTGATTTGTTTGGAAAACGAAAAAAAAAATGAAAATCAATTTTTGGTAGGCCCCGACTTTATTTGGATATGTTTATAATTGAAAGGTTTAAATCGTAAAGTGCACCTATAGATCGATAAGACAAAGCGTTTCTTGACCTATGTTGATAAGAACTTTTAGTCATAAAATAAGGCAAACATCATATCCATATCCATGCACTTAGAAAACAAACCGCACATTAAATTGAGCTCGTGATGCAATCATTTCCTTTTTCAAAGGTTTTCTCTTTTCGTACTAACCATAAAAGCACTCACCCTGTATATATTGAGGTTCCGTTCGGGCCGGGTCTTTTTTTTCATGTTTTACAATGTAATCCAATTTTCAGCGTATCTTTAGGTTGCACTATCCAACGTCCAATTTTGATTATTGACAATTTGAGCAAACTCTTCGAGGTAATTGTAAAAGGTATTTTGCCAACTAGTGCCTGGACGTCTGTAATTTTATTTTGTAGTTTCCTGGTCGCTGTCATACCTACACCTAAAAATGATTAAAAACAATATATTTTTATGATGGTAGAATATTTAAATGAGCAATATCTTTTTTCGGCTGATGGTTTCTTGCAGTTTCTTTCGGTTGTCTTTCATAGACATTGCGTGACGTCTTCTCCGTCCATAACATAATGGCATAATCGCTTTGCTCTTCCGCTTAATAACTACAAAAAAACTCATCCCATACATTCGACGAAATAAGGTTCGTGACAGGAATGTTCTATTATTTCTCACCATTTCCATAGAATGGAAACGTTAATGCAATAGTATCGAAGTACTAATTAATGATACGCATCCGTTTTACTGATGGGCAGAATTATGTGGAACTAAAAATAGAAGACTATATACTGAGTAAAAATGTGGGGATTACTCATCAGCATAAATGTTGTTTAAATTTGGATAGTTGACGGCACAACCCAGTAGATAAATTTTGCGCAAGGTTTTGAGTGAACTAAAAAAACAATTAACCGTGCTAGTTTGATGAAGAAAGGCGAAAAATAGGGATTCAGTTCCTAAAAGTTCCGGAAACTTTAGAATAGAGTTCTGCAACAGTGCGTCGGTCTGTCTTAGCTCAGACCTGGTACAAAATTTCAAAAAATCTTTTGTACATATGTCAACTATAGATGATCGCGCATCTACAGAATTCACTTTTGAATGTACAGAGTGTCCCATTTTTATGGTGTCAATAGACAATTGATTTTTTTAATGGAACGCCGTGTATATTTTTAGTTGTTTCGATGTCATTCTTTAACCTCTGCATGGAAACCTACTCATTTTTTTTGGGTCAATCTTACCAAATTATTAATTTTTTTCCGAATAATTCCCCATAAGCAAGCCCCCCTTTGATAATCGTGGCGACCTTGATCTTAGTTAAGAAATACATTTGGTCAATAATATTCATTTGAATAAAAGGCGACACTTCGGTAATGAGAAAGTTGGATTTAGTGATACAGGATGTACAACGTGTCAACTATTTCTTTTCAAATGGAACTAAAACTATTTTATTTCTCCATTTGATAGTCTTTTGTGTGATCTTCAATTTTTATAAAGAGTGTTCTGTGCCTAAACCCCGCAGTTTTTAGGTTATTCAATATTTTTCACAAAAATAGTTACAGATTATGTAATTAACTATATACTTATTCATAAACCGGTGTAGATCGTGATAATAAAAAAACCAAAACCATGCCAAAAAGTAAGCAAGTGTCACAATAAATTATCATGTGTACTCTCTATTTCGTAGTCAAATAAGATTAATTAAGAAGGCGAATTTTGAAAAAGATGATCTAGTCTTTTTAAATAATCTTGTTTTACTACGAAATAAGGAGTACACTTGCGGCACTTGTTTACTGTTTGGAATTCTGTGTGTTTTTTTTTATTATCGCGGTGTACTCCTGTTTATAAACATATGTAATTGATTTTTGTGAAAAATATCGAATAACCAAAAAACTACGAGGTTTAGGCACAGGACACGCCTTATAACAATTGAAAAGCACACAACATACTATCGAATAGAGATATAAAATAGTGGTAGTTCCATCGAATCAGCTAAAAATATACAGGGTGTTCCATTTAAAAATATCACCTTAGAAATGGGACACCCTGTATATTGAAAAAGATGCGCAGCCATCTATATTTGAGATTTGCACAAAACGTTTTTTAAAATTTTGTACCAGGTATAAGCTAGGAAAGACCGACCTCACTGTTGAAGGACCCTGTATATGTCAGTATAAAAGGCGAACTAACCTGAACGTGTATTGTCACCTTAACCTCCACGACCCTGTTCGGAATGTTGAGTTGCAACCTGCCACTTGTGAAGAAATGGCTTAAAAGGAGATTTCTTATTATTTAATAGTAGAGGGCCATAAATTATGTGATGAATTAATTTAGTAATTAAACAAAAAGAATTACTTCTTCTTATCTACTCGTGCTTGGCGCCGCAAATGTACCGATTTTGGAATTTTCAATTAAGAAGATTGAATTTTGAAAAGTCAAACCCACTCCATTATAGGTAAACATGGACGATTTTTCGTGTTAGCATATAATTATTATTTTGTGTATTGTGTATTTCCACTTGGCATTTAATTACTAAAACGAATTCATTCAAATTGTAAACGTGTTCTCCAAATAATGTGTCCTTTATGGTGTCGACGAAAAACAAAAGTCACAAATTGTAGCTTGCAATTTAAGATTGTTTATGGGGTAGGGTTGTGGTGAACGTTTGTAGTAACCATGTACAAGAATGTCAGAAATGAGACGAGTCTTTGATTGGACATCACCTGGAAGATATAAAGGTGGAAGATCCCGAAAGTAATAGAGTGGGGCGAGGGGCTGTGACGTAGGTACAGGGATATAAATTTTAAAACATGGATTGTTTCATTACTCGATCTGTGTGTTGGTATTTTGTTTTGTATATAATACTCTAATTGATTTCGTATTCCGTTTGCATTTGAATGTAATGATTATTAATCAGCTCCATCGGATTTTTTAATAATAATAATATATTTACTTTTCTATTAGGTATATAGCTGAATACAAAAGATAAGAAGAAAATAAGAAAAATAAGTAATTAACCACATTATTTAAGCAAAAAAATTAAGTTGCTTGCATTGATGCCATACACATTATTAATTAATTAATTCGGTTTAATACCATCTCGTTAAGTCCTTATATTTGCATTTAAAAAATTGAAACTCGTAGTGAAGGTACAGTTTCTACGTTTCTATATACATGGTGGACCCCAACCCCCTTGCATTTAAATGGTGATTAGAACTGAATTGCTGTGTATTAGTAGAGATAGTTTCGTAATCGTGACAAATTATGAAACTGATTTTTTCTGAATGCTTTAAGTGAATTGTGTTGCGATTTTGATTCGATACACTTTCTCCTTTGAATAATTATCATTTACCTATACCAAAATGCGCTCACATTCGCTTTAAAGTAGGGAACAGAATTGATCTGATGCTAATACAATATATTATTTATGATGTTTCTAAAAGCATTCTTTCTGGTTGTAAACACGCAAAAAATCTTAAATCCGATTTGGAGGATTTCAGGATTCACATGAAGTTAAATCGTATTAGGAAGTGATTGCTGCTTCTAAAATTGATTTAAAAAGACGGCGAAATGATGTGGCTTTAAAAGGAAATGATTGCATTTGTTCCCCAAATAATTCTTTATTTTTTTTATATGTCTATTCATAATACATAATTATTTGCCACTAGACCGTATGCTTAGCAAATACATTACAAGTCATTTTATAATACTTATTCCTGAATATGAAAATGTAAAAAGTGTTAAGATTTACTACAGAGGTACGTATGGTAATGAAAAAAAATTTGCTCCCTTAATAATAATTTATCACCCTTTTGTAGTTTATGATTAAATAAAGACTAGATTAGACTAGACACTATAAGGAGCAAATGTTTTAAACATTTTCCAATATTTACAACTGGTTAACACTTGGCTAGAAAGACAAACAAGAAAAAATTCCAAATATTCATCAATGTACCTGATTAGATTCGGAAGTGTTCGTAGTTTTGCGTTTGTGATTATCCTGATTAATCTACGTTATATGGTATAAAAAAATAGTAAATTCTTTTTGATAATTCAAAATTGTTTCTTATTTGTCATGAGGTACATATGTTAGTTTATATAAAAAATATTTAACAATATTGAAACAAATACGAAATCATACAGTTTTCGGTTAACGGTAAAAAAATGTCATTTAACGGCGTACTTGGAAGTTTTGCGTGACGTTTTACGGACACGGATTGATTAGGTTAAAAAATGATAGTTCACATTTTTAATGAATTGATACATCTGCTGTACACATACATAACACATCGACAAAACGAAAAGCATAAACACTTACACAATCTATTCGAAATTATTCTCCTGGCGCCCCATTATAAACGCAGAATAATATGAAAATAGTTATATTTATATATTTATATATCTGAGTCTCCAATGTAAATAGATATAATCTCATGTGAAATACTCTACAAAACATTCTATAACTTATGTGTCATATCCTAAACATCCTTAAAACTAATTTTGATTTTGTGCCTCCGATTTAGGATAATAGTAACAACACTTCAGCAACATTCGCACAGATTCAAATGCTCCAGATTCGCATCAATCGTGTCCACCGCATTTTGGTTTATTTTTAAAAACAAAGACACGGTATAAGTATAAAGGTTACTACCGATCGAGTCGGCGTTGTACCGTAGTTAAATCCGGAATTCCGGAAGAGGTAGTTATGGGCAAAGCGACAACGCCCATTTTAAAAATGCAAGATAAATCAACCATCCGAGAACTTGAACCGCCCATGGTTCCTTGTTTGATTTTTCGCTATAATAAACCAAGGTGTATTTAGAATCTGATTTGTTCTCAATTGACATTTGACTGCGTAAAAGGCACAACTTTACCATATTCAAAAAGTAGAAACAAATTCCAAATATAAACAGTTATTGTTTGTTGATGAAGAATTATAGAAGAAAACAAGTAACTGTACCGTTCGCAGTTCTCTGACTGTTGATGTATCAAGCTTAAATTTTCCGCACGTTGCAAACAACGCCTATTGTTTAGAAATTCCCTTGAAAAACACTAAAAACTAAAATAGGTACAAACTAAACAAATATCAAAAATTCTTTACCGTTTAGTTTCTAGCTCAAATACAAACTTACATATATCACATTTTTTAGTTACTCCAGATTAGCAACTGGGTTGAGAAACAAACCAATGTATAATTCAAACCGAAGTTGTCTGTGCAGCACTTGAAAAATGAAAACCAGAACGCTTTGTTAATAAATTATTAAGTAAGAAAGCTTGTGCTTTATTGGTAACGTTATGCTGCTATGGTTACGATAAAATCTGTGCGTGATTTGGAACTTGGTTAAATTAAAGATTTCGTGCACATATTTTGTATTTGCCATACCGAAGGTTGAAGTAAAAGAGGAACTTTTTACCAAAAATTTGGATGTATATATTTATATGATTGTTTACATATACCCTATACGAATTTACATACACAAACGTACCGGTAATTATACTTCCTTACATATGTCTTTTAGGAATAGAAAGAAACTTTCCCAAAAATTTCCATCATTTTTGCTTATTTTCTTTTCAAATCCTTCGCAATAATTATGACTAGCATTACTTCTATGTAGGAACATGTATACTGATATAAAATTTACTATTTGTCATTAGACGGTACTATTTAATGAACATCTTACCTTGCCCGTTCAATGTTCAGGTATAATACAGGCAAGATAAGAGTTAGAGACAGGCGCGTGATTTAGAGCCGCATAGTATAACATCAATTTTAAATAGACATCAAAAATCTTTCAACGTTTAACAAGAACTAATACCCGCTGCCGTTTGTCGAAAACCTAAGATAGAACCCGTAGTTGTAGTTAGGTACGTATAAAACCTCAAAAAATATGTTTTTACCCTTTTAATAATCGGGCTTTGTTTCCCATTTTGGTTGGTTCTATTTAAGTTTTTTTTTCTCTAATGCTAGTTTTGTGTTGACGTTTCTGAAAATTTAACAGAAACCAGTTTTGTTGTTCAAAAATGTTCATCAAGTGACTAGGCGTTGTTAGGAACAAAAAGGCACGCGCATGTCATAAACAGCAATCTAGTAACTAAACGGAATTGAATGATTAACATTTGCCATCTTTCCAGTGTAATTTCCAAAATTGTCGCGTTATTAGCATTGTACAACATTAAAATGTGTGTATCCCAGACGCTAAATGTTTGGGCTTAAAACCTGAAAATCGTACAATTCAGAATACGTCTCTTCTAATAAAGGATTATAGATCGAGGTTCACAATGTGAACAAGCGAGCGGCTGCAACTTTAACAATTTTACCCCGTTATCCCTAAAATTGAATTTTGTTTGCACATCAGGATTTTCACCCCAAAAATCTAGTCACGTGTTAAGTTGAATTGTTATTGGAGGGAAGTCTGTCGGTTTATATACATAAATACGTCGCTTTTTAGCGCATTTTTTTACATTTATGAAATTTCGATGTCACCAAAATTATCTTTTCATAAAATTAAAGTGGAGGGTTGACTTGTTCCTATTCGTCCGGTAAAGGTCGCGTGCAGGGATTTACACAAAACTGAAAAAGGTCGACAGAAACCTGTCATGAACGAATGTTTGTCATCACACTACCCCTTTTGTAACAAAATTTTCCCCTTTTACGTAAAATTCTCCCTCATTTTACAATAATTACGTATTTTGATGTCACAGAACTGCAGCTGTCGAGAGAAAGTACAATAGCATCGAAGATTAAAGAAAAACATGTCAGAAAATCACATTATTGTCAGATTTATTAAATTCGATTAAATCGTGTAACAGAAATTACTAGTTTTTATGATGTAGGCTTACAATGTTCCCTTATTTATTTTTTTGGTAAATACCGGGGAATTTTATGAAAATGCAAAGTGAATTTGGCCAGCTGTTATGCGCTACTTTAAAAAGGGGTTCTTCCTAAAAAACGAATTTATCTTACTCTTTATGTGATACTGATCGAAATCCACTGCCCCTGCTTTATGTACAATTGGCAAAACCAATATTACATGAAAAGAAGTCTGAAAACTAAATAAAAACAGAAGATGAGAAAACATACAGAAAATTGGTAGAATCCTAAGGAATTAAGGCAGAAAAGGATATATTTGTAAAATAGATAAAGGAGAGAGAAAGAATCCCCATGCGTGTTGTGTAAATTAGATTACAACCTACCGACAAAAAACCTTTTTCGCGAGAATACATTTTTTTTATATCTTACAGATGACACAAAGAAATTATGGGATATATTTTCCTACATACTAAAGTAGAAAGCTTCACGTATAGCGAAATATATGTGGCGCTTTATAAGTTTTTAAGGATAGCGATATAAAACAGACCCTTCGATTTCATAATTGGGAGAACCGGCCTATTTCATTAAGTTCAGCGAGAGTATGACGGCGTCTTCTGCGCAGGGATATTCGCGCTTTTATATGTGAGTCGTAAATTTACTGAAATGTGGATTTGGAAAAATATAGGTTTGTTCCATTTTTTGTGCAGGGGCGTTCGCCCGATGACCAAATATGATGGCAGGGGTGAAATCGAAAACCGTCACCTCGATTAGTAATTTATAGAAGCGGCTAAGAAATTCTTTCATTTCTAAATTTCTTCAAACACGTAATCGCATTCTCGACAGCAATTTTCGCTCAACGCGGAAAAGTTTCAAATTTGCGTACAAGAACGTGAGGGTGGATCACCGATCTCTGCAGGTATACCTAAAGATATGACTTAAACAACTTATATATTTTTACTGCCACTAAATGTTTATACGTTGGTACTTGAACCGTATTAATTTTACCTTAACCAATAAAAGCTGAAAAATTTAGTTATAGTGGGTCATGTATAAACCATGAAACACGAAGTGGAATTTAAATTTCAAACTTGAGTAAATTGGGGGAAACTTACAAATTACTAACTTTCGCCTTTTTTTTTAAAGACTGCGTGCAATTTCCCTACACATACAACCTCGTGCAAAAAAAGGATTTAGGACAAATCAATCATCTTCTTAGGTATGATTTGGTTTCTAGTCCAAAACGGCCGTATTGATGCTGAGGTAATAACATTTTATCGTATTTCGGGTATTCATAAAGCCTAGTTTATCAATATTTCATGCAGCGCTTATTTATTGGTTTCATGACTACACAAAATGAAACTTTTACTAATGCCCATTACACCAATCCTAACCGACATTCAACATTTTAGTATGTGTTTGATTTAGAAGAAACAAATATTTATTTACGATTTAATAAGGGTTATGTAAATATGTAATCACAACGAGCTCGCTTGAGACGACGCAACCTCTAAAAAAGCAATTTCATAAAAAAGTATGTAGGTTGAATCGGGGAATATTAATCAATTAACTCGAAATCAATTTTTTTACATTCAATGCGTACATTGTAAACAATGTCAGTTAAACTCGCCGATTAAATTATTTAAAGGCCACAAATCAATTTTTTCATGTAACGTTCTGTTAAATAAGAAAGGTAAAACGAATTCTTATATAAAAGGAGAATATATGTGTTGCTGGTCTCTGAGCAGTCAGAATTCTTTGGTTTGAGATGTGCTACAGATAAACGAGTACGATAGGAAATCAATAAGATAATAATTATAGAATTTCTGTTGCGTCGAAAACATTTTGGGGTCGATCTTTTGTTACTAAGGGTTTCTCTTTTGAATTAGAATTATGAGCCCAAACATTTAGCGTCTTCCCGCACGTGGCCCAAAATTAGTTACCTAAATGATAATGATGTTTACTTCAGAATTTGTGGACCACGGCTTTTACCAGAGTTCTCAGCGCCTATCATTGCGACAGATTTGAAAAAGTCTCCCTTTTTAGAATCGCAATCGATTTCCACGTTTAAAAGTGAAATCTAAAGTACCGTTTACTATTGTACTATCAAATTGATTACTAAGATTCTAAGCAGCTAAAGAGCTCGTATGCAACCAGATGTCTGCATGTAAATATTCGAGATAGTTATTCTGGGTATATATTTACACACGCTTAAAAATTAAGGAAAACTGAGGGAAATATAATTTTATAACACCAAGTGTATAACACCTAAGTATAGTCTAATTAAACGCAATGTAAAACCCGTATCAACACTTAACGTAAACGACTGTCGCGTTTCCTACCCTGAGAGTCCTGGAACATTACGCTACTAACAACTTATAATTAACAGACGGACGTCGCAAGGTAAGATTCGCAAATTTTGATTTTATGCTCATTTATCCTACAATAAAAGTTGTGAGGCCTATATGTACGTACGAGTTCGATTACCCTATACTGGGAAAACGACCACGCGATACTTCTTTTTGTGTTTTGCCAAGGCTCACATTCATTTCTATGGCAAATTCGCTGCACATAAATTATGCATGTATTGTTATACAAGTAGCACGTTTGTTTGATGCCGCCTGTTCGTATTCAAATTTTTACTGCCCATCGAAACGATAATGCAATTGATTTTGTGCCCGTTGCAATAATTTTTAGAATTGGGGTGAATACTGAATTTTCGTAATTTGATATGTGGATCACGCTTTATGGAGATTCATAATAACACGCGAAATAAACGTCAAAAGATACAGAAAGTATTAAGATATTTGCACGTATTTGGATTAAGGGGTGCTTAATCAATATTGCAATTGAACAGATGCATACATTTAGTAAAAAGTAAAATTTTAGGGTGTTTTGGTAACTAGCGTGAAGGCTAGAAAGCAGGGGAAGGGCGTAGGGGCACGCGCTAAGGCAGCTGTTTACAGAATTTAGGAAACGGGGATCGCACTAACAATAGTAGAAAAAATTATAAAGAAAGCGAAACAATTTGCATTTAACAAAAACTTAAAAATATCCCCCGACGTATAAAAGCGACACAAAAGAGACCCGCTTTTACAGCAATAATTTGAATACCAGACACCGGCTGTTAGCATTGCAGCAATTCTGTTTCAAAATTTGTACATTATTATTTTATAATGTTAAACATAGATATAATAATTCATAGCACCCAGGCTGTTACATTATGAAATAGCAGGTCAATTTGCAATTACTGAAGGCACACAGCGTAGTATTATAACTAGTAATTAGCAAAGGTAGTCAGTTTGTACTATACAACAATTTTTAAACAATATGTTACATACCGATACTTTTTGCTGGCATACCAGCCGACTAGATTGTGACTAGATAAGAGCGTGGAAGACGCTCGTCCAAGGAACTGAACTGGAGGAACGGATTAGTGCCGCATATGATGACTGATAGTGTCCCTGAAGATGAAGACGGCGGTACAGGGGAAGGCCTCATCTATGGCCGTCTCAAAAACAGCTCGCGGCGGCGATCGTCTGCCGGTTTAGCGGCCCGACGACCGCCGCCGCGGTTACCCCCTGGCCGCCGTCTCTCGCATTGACTGAGTACCATATGATAGACCCTACTACTAGTCAGGAACTCGAGACAGGAAAGCGACCAAAAGCCGCGATGAGGTGTGATTGTACTCGTTTCAGCTAACCCTGAGTTGCGTGGACTGGGCATGCAGAACGCTAACTGACTTGAGCAAGCTACATCTATCTAACTGAATACAGTTTGTGAACAAATAGGTATATCGAGAGATAAAATAGGAACTTCATAAACATCACCTAAAGCATTCTATCGTACAAAACATCAGTATCTCGATATTTTAAAGTGAAAATTAACAGACTATATAAAATTTCACTCAGTCTTTCCGGTATTTGCATAAAAATATGTGTTCATATGACCCTCGTAATATACGAGGTAATTTGCAAATATAGGAATACGCTTATATATATTATATACTTTTAGATTATACAATATAAGTTAAATTAAAATAAAAATCACAGGTGTTGCTATCGCCGTCTCTCGTTTCTTAAAAAAATATGTCACATCTACGCAAACTACTTGTAGGAAACTGTTTTAAGCTGGGGTAAGGGTGAAAGTCACGGTTACTGGGGCCGATTGCTTTTGTAAAACCGGCAGAAAAACTACGGACGGTACAAACCTACGCTCGACCGCCGATTCATCTAAGAGAAATGCCTGCATTACGTATCCCGGTGTGCCTGTTTGCTCTCCAAGTTGAGGTAGTGCATAAGTCGCAGGTAATTGAGACCTCTTCGCTACGTCCTTTAGCGATTGACTCACCTCCGGTGACAGTTCCAAGCGATTGATTTTTCGTTTCACTTTTTTGCTTTTGCTGCACAACTGCTTCGTGGATTCGTTTGGTGAGACTTCCGCTTCGTCTGTTTTCGAATCTTCTTCAAGGCAATCGAAACTATCCTTCGGTGTCTGATTTTCGGGATGCGATTCGGAATTACCGTTGAAAAATGGTGGCAACGGAAAAAAGGGATGCTGAGTGAACAAATGGTGCTGCAACATTTCTGTTTGTGCAAAGTTTTGAGTACAAACTGGACATTTAGGCGAAGCGGTGTCTCCTTCACTCTGCTGCAGAGAATGCGATCGCTCGTGCACAAATAGAAAAGGAAGAACGGGCGTAGAAAATGGACAGTAAGAACAATGGTAATTTTTAGGTGTTGTTTCATCCGTACCAAAAATTGTCGATAAAACGTTCTGTAGCCCCACCTTTGGCGTACTGTCTTGATTACCGTTCGGTATTTTTAATGTTGGACTGGCGCGATCACTTTGTGGAGTTTTCACACTTGTTGACTTCGAATTCTGACCAAGCGATTGTTGCAGCTGCTGCTCCAATTCTGCCCACTTTTCTGCTCCCGTTTGACCGTGGTCACTTAACAAATGCGCCTTTAGCCATTTTGTGCTTCGAAAACGACGACTGCATATTGTGCAAACCTCAGTAAAATGTGTAAAGTAACGATGGCTAAGGTCGGCGAGGTCTCCCGGTTTTAAAGCAGAATCTTGTTCAGATGGAAGCAATGGGGCAGTTTCCGGATCCGTTTTTCGAGGTTGTAGAAGACTGGAGCCGTATTCGACGATACCATGCGTGTTATGCTTGTGCACGCGAAGAAAGTACTTACTGCAAAGTTCCTTGTTACATATGTCGCATATAACTCCTCCAATTTGAGCACCATTTTCAATTTCAATTCCGTGCATCCTTTGCATGTGGGTTTTCATGAAGTATTTGTTGCAAAGCTCTTTGTTGCAAATCTCACAGTAACTGCTACTGGGCGTAAGACTCATTGAACTTCTCCGATCAGAAAATGATCCGGAGACCGAGTTACCTCTAATTGGACCTTTCTCCGCGTTTATAAACGATTCTTCTTTTATGTCGCTCAGATGCTGATGATTGGGATGAAATTCGAGTAAATGTTTTTTCATATCATCCACACTTTGTATTTCTTTACTGCATAAATCACACGAAGAGTTGTTGTTGGCAATATTTTCGTCTTCGACATTTTTCTCCGCGTCCGCACCATCTTCCACCAATAGACCGTGTTCAGCCATCATATGTGCATGCAAGTAGTATCGATTCTCCAATTCCTTGCTACACACATTACAAGTACTCGCCGTCCTATTTACGTCTATATCATTTAGTTGCAATATCATCGTTTGCAACTTCTGTAAATCTTCACTAATGGCGTCTGCTGAATTAATATTTTTATCTCCCGTACTTTGGAACTCCGGCGCACATCTTGTTACATCTTCTGGAAAAATTTCGGGGGTGTCATGATTACTTTGTGGTAAACGAGAGTGAACGCTCACGTTGTGAAGTTGAGCCAAACTGGCATTTTGAAATTTAATACCGCACGTATCACACGAAATATCCGCCGGAGAGCTTGTCTTACGCTCGGAAGTATTTGAATTAGTTTGTTCGGCCATAATTAGATTTAAGGGACTGGTTTGCATATTATGCGACCAAGTTGACTCCATTTTCATTTCTTTGCCATCTTTACTGTCTTCGGGTATATAGATTCCGTGCCGTTTCATTTTGTGCGTTCGCAAAAAATATTTGTTGCAGTACTCCTTACAGCATATCTCGCAAAAGGCTTTCGGATTCATGACGCCTATTCTTCTAAGACGATTTAAATCAATTTCCCGTGACTGTTGACCTGGTGACATTTTACTTGGCGATGTAAAATATGTGCCCTCTTCAAAGTTAAATTCGGTTTTTAACAATGCACTATCGTGTTGTACTGGTTTAGGACTAGAGGTCTCTTCGGCCATTGTTTCTTCGGTAATAGTGGTACGCTCGGTCTGGCCGTTACATAATGAAGCAGCTGACGTATTAAAGTCGGGTGTCGTGGCATTTTCAGATACTTCAGAATCGAACATAGGCTTCGAAATTTTCGGAAATAACTTATTGGTGAATAAGGTGGGGTTACTTGGAAAGAGTTCGCTAAATGGGTTAATTTGTGATTTCGGATCGGTTTTTGTGGACGCAATTTCAGTATTATTTGAATTAGAGGAGACCGGTACTTTGATATTTGACGCGTACGAAGGAATACTAACTGTTGTGCCTAAAGTTTCGTTAACCGGTGGATCCGAGTAAATTCCGTGTTTATTAGCTTTATGAGTTTTTAAAAAGTACTTATTGCAAAATTCTTTATTACACAAGTCACAGTACGCGTCTGGGTTGAAAATTCTAACAGGTTGTCTTGTCGGAATGTTATCGGGCTGTGTAAACGGCGGGAGGGACATAAATAAAGAGGTGGCCGGTGAAAATTGCACTCCGTGCAGGCTGGGATTGATCCATTCTTTGTTTTGTAAATCGTTTATCCAGGGTAATTCGCTTCTGGAAGCAGGCATCTCGATGGGAGTTTCGCATCTTTCGTAATTGGGAGCTGATGGAGCGTCTTCTGGTTCCTTTTTACAGTGAACATTCGCATGTTCGGTGGTTATGTGGTTTTGTAATCGATCGGCTGCGTTAAAGGTGACTTGGCACAAGGGACACTGCAATTCGGGTTCAGGAGATGCAATGGACAGCTTACCTTCTGGAGGAACTAAATCTGAATCAGCAGCTGATATACGAACCGGAGTAGCCTGTTTCCGGCGCTTTTTGCAGGAGTCTGTGAGCGGGGCAATTAAGCATCGTTTCATAGGTCGCGGTGTCTCGAAGACGGGATCGTCGACAGCGGTGTCTTCGGAAATTGTAGAGAAGCCGCCAGCATGTACCGGTCCTGTCGTGGAGGGTAACGTGGCGGATGTCGTCATGGTGTCTTGAGCGCGACATGCAATGCTACCAGAGGTCCCTGCACAAAAAATTAGCATCAGGCTTTAATAAAATGTTAGGAATTAGGGATTAATCGCGTAATTCATAGGCGGAGTAGTGAGCGTAGAGGTCCTCGTAAAAATATCCTCCGCTGTTCACTCAGGCGAAACTTCGTAATGGCCAAATCATTAAATATTTGCGCGCACAATAAGCGATAGAATGCAAGGAAGTATGAATCATACGAGTTTTCCCTTATTTTGAATTCTCCCCTTGCATTTTGCCAGTTTCTAGGAGAAATAGCAAACAACTTAGGTCGGGGGTGACATTTGTAGAAATGAAAAGTGTCACCCGCATGTATAATTAATGTCGCATGTGAAGTGTTTCTTCGGGAGTAATTTAATTGACAAGGTTAATTATACGAAAAATTGCAGATATGTCACCCACCGTATGCAAATCACGTCGCACATATGTCTTACGTCGGACATTAAATGTTCATACAAACACCCCCACTCGTAAGCAAAACATTTAAAACGTCACCAAACAAGTTGGCGAATAATGACAGTTTTATACCGGCACATGTGCGCACTGATCAGACACAAAATACTAAATAGTTAAGGTAAACTATCTACGATATCGGTCCCCACCCTCTAAAAACCTCCCTACCGTCACCCTACTCTCATGTACATTTAAAATATTTCATATAAAAGTGTTGCATATACGAATTAATTTATCAAAAAATCAGGATTTGAATGCACCCCTTGTGGTAACAATCGTAAACGAATGTTCCTGTGGGGTGGTTTACGTAGGAGTTCGCTTTCTCCCAAATCATCTTAAATGTTTTGCTGCGACCAAGAAGTTAATAAAGTGAAGATGAAAATGCGAACAAAAATATTGATTAATTCTCAACAACGGGTGTTTATTATCGTAGATAAATATTGATAAAATCACCTGTATTTGCTTTTAAAATAACGCTCCGATGCCATCGGAAGCTTTAAGGTGAAATGGGTTTATTTTACATATACATAAGGGGTAAAGTCGCGCACGCACTAATTTGGAGGGACAAAAATGTTGGAAATTTTAAATAAAAATCTAATGACCACACGAATTGTAGATTCCAAGAACCGGGGGGAATTATTGATCATCAGATAAAGGCAACACAGCTATCAGAATAACATAATGACGAATGGAAACATAACGGACAGCGCAAATGAGACTGTGTGTGAGGGTAAGAGTGTATGTGTAGATGCGTGTGCGTATATTTTGGATCAATAAGTTCCTCCCACGCGGCGACCAGTGGTCAGAACGCGGCTAGTCGCGCACCCTAAATTTCAAGATATAAAGTGACACGCCTTAAGTCTATCCGACTTCTTACATCCGCTTCTATCAGGATAATTGCCATTTCTTCCAAATTTCATTTTTTAAAAAATCTGAGAGTACCGGTGGTTATCTAGACGCACTTTACTGAGCTAACTACTGTAGATATGGCATGCAGTATTGAAATTGGCTGCCACCAATCTGGAATTTAAAATTCTATAACCCCTACATACGTTATGACCTACAGACATTACCAGTAAATCAGTATAAGGTAAAAGCAAAAGTTAATTGTTACCATGTCCCTACACTTTACTATTAGAAGCTTTCAAATTCATCGTAATTAAAAAATCAATCGATAACTAAAAGTGGTTATCAGCTTATCAACCCCTTTTATACTTAGTTAAAGCCTGTATGAGTATAAACGCAACAAACCCATCCACGTGTCGCTGTGTACATATGCATCGTAAAGAATGGATAGCATCGTGTGAGCACCTTCTCATAGTGCTGAAGTTAAAGAGGGAACAATTTGTTTTTAATTTGTGACGACAATAATTTCATCTAAAATAACATCTAATAATAGGGCATTGCAGCTAATTCAATTACGGGTAGCAATCATTTCAATTAAGAAAAATTTATAGAGTTATCTCAATTAGACTTGTACGATATCTGACCTCAACACCCTCAACCACTACAATATTCGAAACACCGCTATTATACGTTCCAGCACTAATCAATTTTAATTCGTTTTTAAAAGCGCCCAAGTAACTTTAAAGTTACACTAACAGCAAACTGAAAATTAAGTCGTACAATCAAAAGACATCGACACATGCATTGTAAATTCAAATATTACTTACAGAGACCACCGCCGGATTTTATAAAATTGTCATAGCGAGCACCCAAACGACACTAGCGCGGCTTAGCTACTGATAATTTAGGGGCAGCGTCGAATTTCGACGCCTGTGCGCAACTCCATCAAATTTAGATGACAAAAGCTGCCAATTGTACAGAAATATGCATTTTGTTCGCCATAAAGATGAAAAATCTAATAAGTCTTCTGCTAACAAATTTCGTGCAATTCGAAGCAGAACGATTACCCATCAGCTTATAACGGGTTAATAACTTGAACGTCGTACAAATAATGGAAACAATTAAGTTTTCATGTTTGATTCTGTCACTCAAGTTCCGAAAGAAAATGATAAACCGCAGCTTTACGCCATGTTTAACTATAAAACATTGCGATTCCCCTCGCTTTATGAGAAGAAAAAATGATAAATATTTTTTGCGTTATTTCAGGAAAACTAATTAATTAGGTAATTGAAAAACTACTTTGACAAATGAATTTACAGGGGCCGCAGTGCCCCACTGTCTTCTGTTAGTAGGTAATGGTACAATCATTTAGAATACAAAAATCAGCAAAAGCATCATTAGATTGTTTAAAATCATCTTCCAGGCTCCACACTCCACAGGCTTTTTTCACCTATTGCAATTTTATTACCAGCACCGGTTTTGTTTATGAATGAAAGGTCAAAATCGACTCAAAACACTAATTGTAGGTTCTTGTCACACTAAACTGAATGGTTAATCGTTTACCTCGTTCCTTATGACTTCTCATCGCATTTACGTCTACACATTTATACAGACATGTATAGGGAATTTGATCGCGTGACAACCTTGTTTAAAGATAGTCAACAAATTTGTTACCTTGCTAAGCAAAAATTCTACTGATTTTGCCGCGATTTATTAAAATTCCTTCATCCGGATGGTGGCAACTTCAAATCAATTTCAAATCTACTGTAAATAAGGATATGAGGAGAACTCGAAACCCGGAATGTATCGCTTTCACTTTCACTGAACTTTGTAAGATATGACACAGTAGGATGCCAAGCATTTTTCATTGTATTGTATTCATAGTTATCATGTATTAATTCTGTTGCTGTGAGTGTAAATTTGTTGGAAAGGTTTGTAGAGGGTTTTGAAACACGGCTGTGGAGATGGTGGTAGAGGTAGGTAGATCGCCCTTTTGCGACATTCATTTCGTGACCAACTGTTATGCATTCGCAGAAAGTAAAAAAATGAATTTTTGGACACTGGAGCAGGGACGTACCGTAGGTAAATGGCAAACACGCGCCCCTGTCCCACCGTCCATCCATAGGGGGTAGGGACTTTTTTTAATTTAACATAAAAGTATGTATTACCCTTTTTCGCGCCATGCTTGATTGGCGCCCATGGCACGTGCCATACCTGCCATACCCCAGTTACGCCTCTGCTGGAGCTCGTTTCTATAAAACCATTATTCATATAGGCACAGAGTAGTTAATCTGTGATATAGGTTACAACAGGTCAAACACCTAATTACTCGGCAAACTTCTTCACGCCATTTTATGAAACCAATTGTAAAGATGGTTTCCATTTTTAATAATAATAATAATGCCTTTATTGAGCTACACTGGCGGAGTTCAGTTTGTAATAAAAAAATTGTTTTCTTGGATATTACCTTCAGATTTCAGTTGCAGTTACTGTTAGTGATAAATCTAGTGCCAGGGCAGTAAATATCTCCGTAGTTTCGTTACAAATCCGTTTTAAAGCAAGTCGTCTTCTTTGAAGCATTTTTTCTGAAAGTGGCTAATCAACTTTCTCCACCGGAAAGTGGGCGCCAAATTTATTGTGAGTAGGAGTCATGGTGAGTGAGTGGTTTTCATCAGAAATTGAAACTTTTTTTTGTGTGTGGTACGGTGTAACGAGAGTATTTAGGTTTCGATTTAAATGTTTCAATTTTCCCCGCAGGAATAGATTATGTAAGGTATAATTTTTCTGGTTGTAAAAAATCTCAAAGTAATGATGAAGTAATTAATTTCTTTAATTACATTTGGCGTCAAGATTGCGAGAGGGGAGCTTGAATTACATCCTTTTTGGTAGAGTGATAGGGTTACATTTCTTAGTAAGCGTGAGATAACTCGGCGGGATCAGCAGATTTGAGGAACGTGGAGGAGAAAATTTATTTGATTTTAAGGGAGTGGTTATATAGCTAATTAAATTTTAGCCCATATTGAGTATCAATTCACCATTTTCTCTTTTAGTTAAGTTATTAAAAATTATAGTAGGGGGCATTTGTTGTCTGATGGCCAGAGTAATTGGGCGGTCTAGAGAAAAATTAAGATTTCATTAAAAATTAGCGTCGTAATTACGGCTAAAAAAGTAATTAGTTGTGGTGTTTATCTAAACAATTTTGAAGGAACGTTTTTAGATCGCGCAGTAAAAAAATTCAAGTGACGTGCATTTGGAGAAAAAAGGGGATTCGATTTGAATAAATTTAAATAAATAAACGTGTAAACAAATATAGCAAACGTGCTTCTGGGTATGGCTATAGCATGCAAAAGACCAAATTTTTAAACTGGAGCTACATTTGCCTTTATTCCAAGTGTCTAAGTGTCAAATTTCATTAAAATATTATCGTCGATAAGAAAGTTGGCACTGCGCATGCGCAAAATCAAATTTTGAAACTGGCGTTACATTTGCTTTTATTCCAAGTGTCTATGTATCAAATTTCATTTAAATCCCTCCATAAATAAGAAAGTAGACACTGCGCATGCGTAAAACCCAATTTTGAAACTGGCGTTACATTTAATTTTATTCCAAGTGGTTATGTTCAAGTTTCATTTAAATACCTTCGCAAATAATAAAGTTTGCAAAACAGTTCATAAATGGTCGAAATGCGAAAAGGGCACTCTGAATGTTGAATGGATTAGACTCAACTTTTGTAATTGCGTATTATATGACTAGTCATAGCTATGCTCATATTAAATTTAATGCAATTCGGTTCCTAACTAACAGAGATATCAAAAGGGCCTTCCTTATTTTTTGACCTACATTGCCAATTCACGAACTCCTTTCTACAAACTTAATAAAGATTCCATCTAGGAAATTTCATCGTAATCTGTTCATTCGTTATCGAGATATCGTGCTAACGAACAGACGGACGGACAGACCCCGCAAAATTATAAACTCACTAGGAGTTCGTTAATAATCCGGGACAATCTGTCTTCGAAAAGGCTTCAAACTGGAGGATCGATTTAATTCGAAAAGAACCTTTTATGTACGTATAGTGAACTATAGCCTAAGGACATCCTGTTTTCTAACGAAAGAAAAACAACATTTTTATTAACTATTACAATAAGCTTATTAGTACGACACTATACTGTCATTTTTTTTTTTTTGGTTTGAACCAGTGGTCATTCAACCAGCTTCATTATGTATCTTTTGATTTGCTTTCGAAATTAACAACAAAAAGCATTGTACGCGGAAATTGTTACTGCATATGTTTTACTATTCTGATCGCAAGAAGTTTGGATACGTTTAAAAGAAAAATAGATTTGTCATTTGAAAACTAACGGTCAATAGAAAGAATTATCCAAATTCATGTGTATACCTTGGTCCATACTGTTTGGTGTTTATGTGTAAAACATGAATATCATGGTCCATTTTGTTGTTACCTAATTCTAAGGTAAACTAAGAATACCTACTTCATTCACAAGTTTTTTTTTTGCAATACTATTACTTAGAATTTCATAAGAAGACAATTTTTTTAGGAAAAAGGAGAAGTACTGTACTGTAAGTAATTGTGCATTTTGGGATTGAACTAGTCGCAATAATTAAAGAAATTTTCATTATATGATGTGATGCGACAAGTATACCCTCGAGTATACCCTAATTTCTGTAATGCGTAATTATAATTTTAATTTTATTAAGTAATTGACAATACCAAAAGATAGTGAACTGCAAGCGCAATAAATATGAACGCAACCAAGGCCTAAAACAAGCAAGTTTCTAATTAGTTAATTAGTTTTTCGTCATAAATCCAAATAACCGAATCGCAAAATAACAAATTTATCCAAACAAGAGCTATTGTTTCCAAGAACTGAATAATTCTTGCTAAGAAAACTTTTTACATGTTTGTTAAAAGTCATTTCCAGAAAACCAGACCAGGCTTGTTTTCGTTACCAAAAGCCAACTAAGCACTAAGCAGAACAGACAAATATGTTTTAGAGTATGGGCTACCGAGACAATATTACCATTTGGCACTCGGTAAGTTTCCCTCTCACACTCCTCCGCTCCATTCTTTTAGCCTGTATGGTTGGGTAAACTACATGGGGGTGTAGAGCAGAAATACGTGTTGTTAACGTAATTTCAACCGTAAATTTTAGTTCTTGTATTTAGTTTGCATGATAAAGGTATACTTAAATAATGTAATGTTTAAAGTTTTTAGCTGGTCAGGTGTAAAACGTTTATTATCGGATAAAAATTAATTGGTTTTGCGATAAACAACGCCATGTGCGAGATAAGCAAAGCAGGTGGTTATCACTACTGGCGGCGTAGGTGGAATTTCGAGTATCGTCGAGAATAACGACGTTGATTTTTAATAAAGGAGGTGGTCTTTGCTTAAATAGGAAGAATTGGAGTGTAAATGAAGGTGTTTCATATTTATTTGAAAGTGAGCGCAAAGTTTGTAACGCTATTTTGTACCGGTAGTCTAGCTCTAGCCGGTTATATATTTTTTTAAAAGAATAAAAACGTAGTCGTCTTCATGTTGATAAGGTAATGTGGAAACAAGTCATGGAATTTATCAATTGTCCAAGTTTTACACCGGTCCAGATCTAGACAAACCATCCCTCAAAAACCTGATCTTTATCCCTGCTAACATTGGGTCTGTGAGCAACATTCTTTTCTTCATATTGGGAACAATTCAGATAGCTTTACCCTAGACAATTAGGAATTGAATCACAAGCTGTAATTCGCCTGGTAGAACCCTTATATGAATCCAAATAGGAATGTGACTGCCGAGTTTGTCGATTCCTTATTAAAGAAGAAGCTGACGCATTTCGGCACACTTACAAAACTAAACG